TTCTACTATAAGGACACATGCACACGAATGTTCACTGCAGAACTGTTTACAATAGTAAAGACCTGGAACCAACCCAAATGCCCATCGATGATAGACTGGACAGGGAAAATGTGGCACATATACACCATGGAATATTATGCAGCCATCAAAAACAATGAGTTCGTGTCTTTGTAGGGACTTAGATGAACCTGGAAACCATCATTCTCAGCAAACTGACACAAGAACAGAAAAACACCACATGTTCTCACTCATAGGCGGGTGTTGAACAGTGAGAACACATGGACACAGGGAGGGGAGCATTACACACTGGGGTCTGTTGGGGGGAAATAGGGGAGGGACAGCGGGGTTGGGGAGTTGGGGAGAGAGAGCATGGGGAGAAATGCCAGATATAGGTGAAGGGGAGGAAGGCAGCAAATCATGCTGCCACGTGTGTACCTATGCAACAATCTTGCATGTTCTTCACATGTACCCCAAAACCTAAAATGCAATTTAAAAAAAGAAAAAAAATGTTTTTAGTGACAGCGTTAGTGATCACAATGTATTTTTCTGAGGTTCTCATTGTCATTGTTAACGATGTTGTCATTGTTAACGATATTGTCATATTTTTTTTTTACCTCTCGGGTGTTCAGAACTTGACAAGGAAGAAGAAAAAAAACAGAGTTATCTGATTTTATGTAGAGTGCCATACATTCCACTAGTGGAGTACTCCTGAATTTGCCTCTTTGACCACGTAATCTGATGTACATATTATTAGTAAACTATAGAAATGTAAACACATAATGAGGCTTTTCTTCGTTCTTTAGGAAGACTATGACCGTCTGAGGCCTTTATCTTACCCAATGACCGACGTCTTCCTTATATGCTTCTCGGTGGTAAATCCAGCCTCATTTCAAAATGTGAAAGAGGAGTGGGTACCGGAACTTAAGGAATACGCACCAAATGTACCCTTTTTATTAATAGGAACTCAGGTATGTCTGATTTGATTTTCTGCATTTTACAATAAGCTCTTTGCCTATATTAAGGGTTGCTCTCAGACAAATGGTCCCAAGGTTGAGCAAATGATATAAGTGTTTAATCTCAGCTGCTAGTTAATGAGTTCTCTCATATTTTTGGAAAAAAATTGTACCAAAAGAAAGCAATTATATTCCTGGTTTTTAAAAATTGAGTTCTTTTGTTTAATCTTTTTTTAGTATGTGGGGATTAAGTGGGATTACATGCTTTTTCTTTAAAGATTTGTAATATTTTGGGACATTATTGACCTTTCTTAATTAGATTGATCTCCGAGATGACCCCAAAACTTTAGCAAGACTGAATGATATGAAAGAAAAACCTATATGTGTGGAACAAGGACAGAAACTAGCAAAAGAGGTAATGGAACACTTAGAGAATTTAAGCATGAACGTAAAAGAAGCTAAGATAACAGTAGAAGCTAACATTTATTGTGCATTTACTGTATGCCAGGCACTGTGCTGAGTGCTTTACATGCATTATCTCATTTAATCCTTGCATGAACTCAGTGAGGTAGGTCTGTTTCCCCTGTTATACACAAGAGAGAGTAGAGGCTTGGAGATGTCAGATAATTAGCCCAAGACCCTGCAGGTAGTAAATGGCAGAGTTGGGTTTCAGTCCAAAGCCTGACTCCAGGGCATAGGCTCTTATACCTGTGCTACATTGCCAATGGTATTTTCCTAAAAAGTCACATATAGAGGAAAGCATCAGAAATACGTGTCACTACTTTCAGCCCTTCTTCATTACTTAACCATGTGCAGTGTGCCAAATCAGCTGTCTTGACTCACTGAGTTAGGTAGTGGAGCCACATAGGATGGCAGTTTAAATTTGTGGTTAAAACCAAAAAAATGATGACTAGGTTTGAAAAGAAATGTATTGAAATTTCTCCAATCTTTTTATGAAAAAAGGATAGAAAGTACTAAAATTCTAAAAAAACATATGACAGTGGTAGCTTATCTTCCTTCTTGCCCCAATGCTAGGTTTACTTTTTTCCCCATTTGGTCTTAACATTATTGGATTCTGTTTTTTAAATGTTGTGGTTGCAATATGACTTTTGTGGAAACAGAAACTATATATGGTCTTTTAAAATGTACTATCAGGAAGCAAAAGAAAGCAAGAAAACTTTCTGAAGGACAGTTTTTCCTAAAGCAAAAGATAAATGACTTTACTAACAAATCACTTCAGAAATGCCATGCATTCAATTTTGTAATCTTGGGGAGAGAGGGAATTTCTAAATGTCATAAAGATAAAAGTCATAAATGAAAATAATGATTTAACTGCATAAAAACTTAATACCACATCAGATGGCAGAAATAAAATGAAAAGTCATATAACCTGAGATGGATGACAGGAAAATGGGTTACCATCCTTAGTATACAGGAACCCCTTGCATATTAATTAATCAGAAGACACAGATCCCAATAGAAAAATGGACTAACAATGAAAAATTCACCCCAAAGTGCAGATTGCCATTGAAGATAGGAAATATGTTCATACTTATTAGTAGTCAAATATAAGCTCAATTTGAACCTGTAAGATTGGCAAAAAATGAGAAATTAATTATAATACCCCCTGTTCCAAGGGTATAGTAAATAGGACACTCTGTTGTACTATTGGTCATTGAGTCAAAACATTCTTGACAATATGCAAAATCCTTAAAATCATGGACAGTTTTGATCAAGCAGTTCCATATGTAAGAATTTATCCTAAGCAAATCATTAGGATGTTGGTCAAAGGGTACAGTGTTTAGTTAGACAGGATGAATATGTTTTTTGAGATATACTGCGTAGCATGGTAACTACAGATAATAATGGTGGTGCTGGGTACAGTGGCTCACACCTGTAATCCCAGCATTGGAAGGCCAAGGTGGGAGGATCATTTGAGCTCAGGAATTTGAGACCAGCCTGGGCAACATGGTGAAACCCCATCTCTACTCTACCAAAAAAAAAAAAAATTAGATGGTCCTGGTGGCAAGAGGATCACTTGAGCCCAGGAGGTGGAAGTTCCAGTGAGCCAAGATAATGTCATTGCACTCCAGCCTGGATGACAGAGTGAGATCCTGTCTCAAGAAAAAAAATAAATAATAAAAGAGAAAAGAAAAAAAATAATGGGGGACTACGTATTTCAAAATTGCTAAAAAAATTAAATGTTCTCATCACACAAAATGATAAATATTTGAGGTGATAGATATGTTAATCAGGTTGATTTAATCATTTCACTTGTGTGTGTATGTATATAGAAAACATTGCCTGGTACCTCATAAATATATACAATTATACTTTGTCCATTTAAAATATTTAATAAATTATTAGGGATGTGCGTAAAGAGATAGCTACAAAGACGCTGACTTGTTTATAATGGCAAAAATTCCCCGCATCTAGTAAACTTCACACTAAAGTATCTGTTCACATTTATTATGTAGTTAAAGGGAATAAAGTAGTTGCACAACAGTATGATCCTGTTTCTAGACCCATCAGCATTTGGCACAGTTGCACCCTTCTTGAAACTTTCTTCACTTGGCCTCTCTTGGTTTTTCTCCCCTCTCATTGGCCTCTGCTCCATCTCTTCATCTCCTTGGTCCCTGGTTGGAGGGCCCCACAGATGAGCACTGAGCTTCATGGATGTGGCTTCCTCTACAGCCACACTCCCTAGGCCTAAATGATCTTCTCTCAGTTGTGCGGCTTGAACAGTCTGCAACTGTAGATTCCTAGATTTCCATCTCCAGCCTGGACCTCTTTCCTAAATTCTCAATTTGGTTATTCAGCTGTTTACTCAACAAGTCCATCTAGGTGGCTGAGTATCTCAAAATTAACATGTCTAAAATATGATTCCTAATGTTACCCTCCAAGCTTGTCCTCCCTTTTGACCAGTTAGTCAGGTCAAAAGCCTTCAGCTGGATGCAGTGACTCACACCTGTAATCCCAAAACTTTGGGAGGCCAAGGCGGCGGATAATTTAGGTCAGGAGTTTGAGACCAGCCTGACCAACATGGAAACCCCATCTCTACTAAAAATACAAAATTAGTCGGGCGTGGTGGTGCACGCCTGTAATCCCAGCTACTTGGGAGGCTGAGGCAGGAGAATCGCTTGAACCCAGGAGGCAGAGGTTGCAGTGAGCTAAGATCTTGCCATTGCACCCCGGCCTGGGCAACAAGAGTGAAACTCTGTCTCAAAAAAAAAAGGCCCTGAAATCATACTTGACCTTGCTCTTTCTCACATACCACACTGTCTAGCTCTTCAGCACAACATACCTTCAGAACATATCCAGAATCCAGACACTTTTTTCTGCCTTTTCCTCTGTCACCTGATTCAGGCCGCCTCCATCTCTGGCCTGCTTTACTGGAATAGCTTGCAACTCACCTTTCTGCTTCTGTCTGTGCCCCATGATCGTCTGTTCTCAACACAGCAGCCAGGGTAAGTCTTAAAAATGTAGGCCCAATCATGTCACTGCTCTGCTCAGAATCCTCCAGTGGGCCCCCAGCTCAGACTAAAGGCCAGAGTCCACACTGTGGCCTACAAGTCCCTATTCCCTCTGCCTTACTCATTGTTCCCCAGGCCTGCTGGTCTCCTTGCTGTTCCAAGTTCTACTTGAGAACCTCTGTATTTTTGCTGCTCCCTCTGCTTGGAATGTTATTCCCTATAGCCATCATTCATTCTTTCACTCTTTTCAGGTCTCTGCTCAAATAGCACTTCCTCAGTGTGATACTGTTCCTTGACTTCTCCAGGCAAGCTTCTGCATCAGGACCTACCTCCCTGGAGCTCTTCCCCTAGGTATCCCTCACTGCTCAAACTTCCCCATTGAGAAGCTTCCCTCAACCACCACTACCAGTCCTCAGCACTCCCCACCTCCCTCACTCTGCTTTTCCCCACAGCATTTGCCACCATCTGCTCTGTCTTCCCTCTGGCAGGCCTCTCAGCCAGATGTCAGCACATGTGGGCGCCACATAGCAGGGACTCTGCTCTTTTGTTCAGTTCATTGACATATCCCCAGGACCTAAACAGTGCTTGGCATATAGTAGATACCCAGGAAATAAGTGATGAATGAAATAATTTTTAATAGAAAGTCTGGAAGGACATATACTAGTATTTTAAAATCCCCTCTGGGGATCATGAACATAGATGATGAATATATTCTTTTTGCATAGCTGTATTTTATACTTTTCTTTATAATGATGTATTTATGTCATGCCAATTATATAAACATGATTTTATATATTTGTGTTTTCTTTTCTCCCTCCCAGATAGGAGCATGCTGCTATGTGGAATGTTCAGCTTTAACCCAGAAGGGATTGAAGACTGTTTTTGATGAGGCTATCATAGCCATTTTAACTCCAAAGAAACACACTGTAAAAAAAAGAATAGGATCAAGATGTATAAACTGTTGTTTAATTACGTGAGAAACATCTTCAGTGGCCAAGGAAACTATTTCTCTCAGAAAGCATATGAAATGCTACCCAGACCTTTTATAGCTAATGAAGCAGTTCAAAACTTGAAAGAAAACAAAACCTGTCCTTAGAATTCTATAAAGTTTATTAAGAATGTTCCTTAAAGGTCTAAGAAGCAGTAAACAGCATCTGAAGCCACAATCTATTATAAATACTTTATTTCAACTAGAAGGTACAATCTCTCAGGGGTTTCATAGTTTAAAAAGCTACAATCACATCATGTTGTAACTACATAAAAAACAGTGCTGTAAATGGAACTGCTTGGCTTTGACCATACACATTTCTGCACAGCCCTTACGGAATCTGCACAAAGAAATATCTCCCTTTGCTCCAGTTAATTGTTCTTGTATGTAAGTTGCTTTCTATTCCAGTATATCCAGAGTGGTGAAATAACAAGGCCAGACACGTAGCCAAAGGTCGCTCCAAGCGTACAGGAGATGGGCCATACCTGAGGAGAGAATGTATGAGATCAAAAAAGAACAAATGTTTTATTATTACTTGAGCACAAGTGTAACCTAAATATTTCTATATTAAAGCTTAATGTGCTTTCTTAAAGAATGCCAAAAGTGTAATAAGGTCATAATTGCATTTATCATGAACACTAAAAATGTACACAATTAGTTAATGTGCATTAAACTGTAACAAGGCTTCTGGCAATTGTAGATTTAGTTTGATGCTCCCCCAAAGTGCATGAGACACATGCTAAAATTACAAATTAAAATTTTGGGTCAGACTTTGCCATAATGCTGGATTCAATTTAGCTCTCTGAACTAGTTAGTAATTTTTTTTTTTAAATTCCCACATTGGCTGTGTACATCAAATGAAATGAGAAGTGTGTATGCTGACCAAACCACAAGGAACTTTAAGTTGCGTTAAGGAGGAAAGACCTAGAATCCAAGCATGTTACATGAAAATTATAACAGAGCAGCTGCTTCCACCTTTGAGATATAAATGTTGGAACCACAGCAGAAGTTATAGAATGACAACTTACATACACACCTAGAATAGTAAGTTAAACACAATACCAGCTTCCAGAGACCCATTTTCTCCAGCCTCACTCTGCTTAAGTGAGGTAATTAATGTTGATTTATTTCATCTACAAGCAGTGCATGTGTTAGTCCCTAAGTGAAAAGCTCTGCTTAAAAAAAAAAAGTTGGAGAAAAATTTCCATGTTCTTCTGTGAAGCTTATTTGGTACACTGGAGCCATTTCTAATCTTTCTCTGGGGGAACAGGCCATAGAACTGTGTTAGAGGTGACCCATCTTAATTGCTAGTTCTATTACCTAATTCAGCTTCCTTGTTTGGTCTGCTGTGGATCTGCCTTATTGAAAATGCCATGCATAAGATAATGGTGTTAGACAAAGCTTCATTGTGAACAACCTAGCAGTTTAGAGAAAATCTCATCTATACATTTTTTTCTAGCCTTTCCTACATTTAAACTTGCTGTTGCCTAAATTATGATTTTTTTAAATGTCTTTGGTGGACTTCTGTTCATTCACATGACTTGAGCTTACAGCTATGTCTACCGCACAGATTGGGTAATGGAACACTAAACTTTTATACTTGAAAATGACAGCCTTAAATGCTCATATCAGTCACAAATCTAGGATGTACTGTCTTGTTGTATGTGAGCTTTGTAGAGATTTTTAAAAATATAAGCATCACCTTCCCATTGAAGAGTTGAGAGAGTCTACTGGATGACTGGTCAGGAACTTTCTCTCAGAATCGGACATTTGGATGTCTTCTTTCTTCCAAGAAATGGTGGTTCACATTAAGTATCATGGCCTTATGTATGCTCAAATGGAATCTTATGTAACTTTCTTATTTAATTTTGGTCTGCTATTTTTAGATAAAATTGAAAGGAATTGTATAAATCAATTAACATATTAGCTAAGTTGTCCAACACATGGTATAAAGGAGTTACAACAGTAAACTATTATACATTTCCAACTTGCCTTTGGGGATTTATGAGGATTTTTTGGGGGGAGGGGGTCAAATTCATCTCTCTGAAACCCTTCACACTTGGTTTACTAGCCATTCAAAGTTAAAGTCTAGAATTTGTCCTGCTCTAACAGAAATGGATTAGGAATTTGTCAACACAAACCGATGTCACCTGTTTCTTGACTGGGCGTTCGTTTCCTCATTATAAATGTGGGAGGTAGAACAGAGATTCCAACGTCTCTTCCATTTATGAAAACTCTTAGGATTCTCTTCTTTCTTGTTCACAATAATCATTTGTTGGACATTACCTTTTCAGTTTCAGTCTCAAGATGGCAAAAATCATGTATTTAGATTATCAGAACTCTAAACAAAGATGACAGTCTCATCTGAACCTGAGGTGCCTTAAGTACTCTACTGACCTTGATGGGGTTTGGAGTTCTCCATTGCTTATCAAGAGCTTTTTAATTGCTTTGGTTCTTTAGTATTTCTTTTTGCAAAAATCCTTCCTGCCACTTTAACTAAAAACCAAAGATTTGTTTTCTATTCATAAGCAGCCTATAGAAAAATTACCTTATTTTCAGAAGCATGTCTTCATTAAAAGCTTGTTTCAATAGAAATTCAGACTAATCACTGAAATGACTATTTCAAACTAGTGAAATATGTGGGAAATAAAATGCTTCAAAAATACTTTATTGACATAAATTTTGCTAGTGAATACAAATACATTGCCTCAAATAAGGCCATGTATGAATTAACTTACAAGAAATTTGTAGTTAATCACTTTTTGCATATAGAAAATCAGTTCTAAAATTCTTAAAAATAAATTTAGGGGCTACCTGAAATCTTATTTCTTTGCTTACACCCTTGTTTTATCTCCACAGGTACATTTTAGGTTAGCTCATGGTGAATTCTATTTACGATAAGTAGAGTTTGGATTCATGGGTTTTGTTATGAATTATCTTAGTTACTTTAGACACTGTTTCCATTTGTTTTTTAACTATTTAAAATACCAAATTAAATACCAGTTTGTTGGTTGTTGCTTTTAAATGATTGTTACTTTAACAGTGTCCCTTCCTAACACATGGGGTTACAAATAAAATATTATGCATAGTTTACTATCTACGGAAAACGCTGAACTTTTTACCTTAGTAGTTTTCATTTACTACCCTATGTAAACATTTGGGATAATACTCTTTCCTTTGTTTCTTTAGGCTAAGAGTCTACTAATCATTGGCAAAGTATGAGTCCCTATACTCTGTTAAAAAAAAAAAAAAAGCTTACTCTTAAAGTATAGGGAGAATAGTAATCCCTCATGAATCCCAGCTAGATTCCAATTTGGGTTACTAAATTGTATTTTAATCATTCTGTAATTTCAGTATGGCTCTTTATTCTCAAACACATACATACCACCACACACATTCTTTAAACAGCTGTCAAACCTCACCTCCAACAGAATGCCAAAAATGAAATATTGGTTAAAAAATTTTGTCTAATGAAGGGTTACGGCTTGGAACACTTGCCTATTCATGTTATGTAAATCAAGAAGTCCATGCCATCAGCAAATTAAAATGTTGGACTGGCTTTGAGGACTGTTAATGATGGGTCAGGCTTTGTACTTAAAAGAGTATCTGCTTGGCTTTCCTGAAATAAGCATTTGTTAATTTTAACACTGTCATTTTTTAAAACGGAATTTCTTTAAGGGCAGTTTTCATGATTTTTTAAGATCAAAATAGGTAAACAAAAGGAGGGAGGCTGCCCACTAAGAACTATTCCTCAAGCAATTTCCTACTAAATTTCTTCTGATTTTTATAAAAATTTTAAAACTACACTATGGCAACAGAATTCACTTGTCAATCCTAGCTTAATCATGTATTTTCATAATTAGACCCTAAGGTTTTCCTTTAAAACCATTTCCTTATGTCATACAGAAATGTTTCTATTCAAAATTCTTCGTGCCACAAATAGAATTTTTAAAAATGGTATATATTAAACAGATAATTCAGCTGCTCATCACTATAAAGATTTCTCCAAATTACGGTAATCTGGGATGGCTTTATATAATTATCTTATTTTGTTTAAAGAAAATAGAAAACTTAGAACAAACACATTCATGTAAAGGAAGTCATTCACATGTTTGCCACCAAAATGACAATCAAGTTTTTTATAAATTTAAATTTTTAGGCAGTAAACAGAAGAAACAACCTATGCTGTATAATCAAATATATTACAACTCAATTACCAATAAGAAAAAAAATCTAGTGGTACATCAGATGTTAAGTGACCTTGACCAGCTCATTTTAACATATGAGCCTCAGTTTCCCAGTCTACAAACCAGGGACAGAAGTACCTACTAAAAATGCAGGGCTAAAGTAATCTCTTAGAATTGGTCATAAAAGCTATAAAGTACATGATACTGGTATTCTGTATATTAAATGTTGTAACTTGAAAAAATTAAACTTAACACTAAGTATTTCTCTAGTCACAGACCAAGTAATAAGTAGAACTGTAATAACCGTAATAAGTAGAAAGGTAGTAAATAGAACAGGCAGTTTAGAACAAATAGTTCATGAGTAATGTTATACTGTGTGGTAGGAACTATTCCCTTACCCTTGCAAAGCAATCATCTTTAATACATGCTGTTCTTCACATGGAATGTCTGTTACAAGAGCAAACTCAAGAGCTGTACAACATACTGGCATTACGTTAGCCATCTGTAGCCTCACCTCAGAAGGAGGAATGATTCCCTGCTGCTAGCTGTCATTTTTCATAAATTTTAAGAAGCAAAATAAGGACACATAGTGGTTTTAAACTAATCATTTGTAGGCATTTGTGTTAATTTTTAAAGCCTCATATGAATTACTCCATTTGTTCAAAACTATTGAGCCCCTACCTTAACCCAGCAGTTAAAGGTGCAAACCAAGATTAGATTATTTAATTTTGGGTACATTTTAATATAAATTCTTAAAAATATGTGTTCCTAAAAAAAAATAAAAATTAAATATGTGTTCCAAATAAAAAAAAGTTACTTATAATTTTGGGGGAGATTTACTCTGTCACAGATAATGGGGAGAAACTGACCTATATGCAAGTCAGAACACCTAGAAACATTTAGAACAACTCACGGCCATTATGATTACTGTCTCTCTCTCCAGATGAAAAGGAAAATAAAACCCAGGCAGCTCATTCTCAATCTCATGAGCTACTTTTCAGTATGTTTGTTTTGTTGATTGTGCTTATCACATATTTGCATTTGCATGACTGTCAAGAGTTCATCTTTCAAAGCCTGCTGACCTTACTGATTATAAATAATCATTTATATTCTCAAAATTGGCCTTGAATAGTATGTTTTTCCAGATATTCCCAAAGTAAATGCTATTGTCTGATACAGGAATATATGCACAAATGAACCTAGTGATTGGGATACATTTCTGTAGTTAAAAACTGCACTGATCCATGTATACACTCTCCTGTGACTAAGAATACTATTTTAGTAAGAGTTATTTCTGGAGGGTTGTATCGTTTCTGGTCTGGAATTCTTGTCAAAATGACACTAAAAGGTCCTGGTCACAACTCATGCAAATGAGTTAACTTTGCCAGCATTATTCTCTCTCATGTGGAAGTCCTATAAGCAGAGCATTATCAACATCGTTACCCTACAATGAACACACCTTTTAAATCCAAAATTATTTCATGCCAGTTAAGTGTTAACACATTTTTCTCATGCTTGAACCATATAAACCATATTCATATAAATGAATATTTTATTTTGGCCTAAAACACAGTATAATCCCTCTGGTAATGGAAATACCAATTAACATCAAGACATGCAGCTCTTCAATCAATCAAATCCATAATCTTAGTTTTAATCTCCCTTCAGCATTTTGGAGTAATCCATGTAGTTATAATCCTATGATTTCCAGTTTCAATTTATAATTATCTGTGACTTCAGGAAATGAATACACATATTTCACAAGTATTAAGTTTTTAACCTGGTAAAACTGAAAAAACAAACAAAAAACCCCAAAGATTTTAAAATACAACAATGCTTCATTTATCTGGTGTCTGATTGGAGTAAGTACAAATATTTTAAAACAATTTTAAATTGTATCAAAGACAATCTCAGGTGACTAAAATTCAGAACTCCAAATTCAGTTATTTAAAATACTTTGTATCAATTTTGCTTTTTACCTTTGTAAGAAATAAGTATCCTAGAAGAGGTTTGATCATTTGGTTCAAATCTTTTTAAAGATTGTAGCACTGAGGGGATCGATCCAAGATGGCCATTTAGGAACAGCTCAGGATTGCAGCTCCCAGTGAAAGTGCAGAGGCTGAGTGGACGCTGCATTTTTATTGCCCACAGACTAGGAAATTCCCAGGCGGAGGATCCCCACGGGTCACCAGCGCGGCTGTTTCGGCCAGGGCTGCTGTGTCGGCCTGTGCAGCTGCTTTGTCAGCGGTGCAGCGGTTCTCCGTACAAAATACGCTGGTCCGGGTGCCCTTTTGGCTGGCGATCCGAGCCACGGGAAGTCACCCATTCATCTGTTTAAAAAGGGGACTGAACAGGGAACCAGGACAGTAGATTCTAGGGCAAAAAATGCACCAGGAATCTCAGTGCCACTGTTTAAGCCAGCGCAGTGAGTCCCCGCATGGGAAAACACACAGATCCTGGTGCCTCTTCAACAGGCGACCGAACACCAACTTAAAAAAAAAAAAAAAAGGCACTGAGGCAGGGAGCCAGGCGATCAGGCTCGGCTGGTCCCAATCCCACAAAAGAACAGCAATCAGAAACTCTCTGGATTGAGAATTCACAGCAAGCGCAGCTGAACCCGTGAGGGTCATGCTCTGTGGGAGAGGGGCCTCCGTCATTACCGAGGCACTTCACGACTACGGAGATAGTCAACCAATGCTGAGGCAGCCCGCTGTTGCCAAGGCAACCCGCCATTTCTGAGGCAGCCTGCCTTTACTGAGGCAACCCGCCATTACAGAGAGAGTCCACCAATACAGAGGTGGGCCACCATTGATTGCCAAGACAATTATAAGGACACACATATAAACAGGACTGCAGGGAAGTTCACCCAGCAGCAAAGCCTCTACAGGCAGACAGTGACTAGGCTGCCTCCTTGCTGGGCAGGGCAGCTCTGAAGGAAAAAAAAAAAAGAAGGCAGCAGCACAATGGAAACTCATAAATAAAGCCCTAAATCCCTCAGGCAGAGCACCTGGGAACAAAAAGCGGTTTATGAGTTCTGCTGCAGCAGACCTAAACGTACCTGCCCAGCGGCTCTGAATGAACAATGGAGCTCACAGCTCAGCATTTGAGCTCCTATAAAGAACAGACTGTCTCCTCAAGCAGCTCCCTGACCTCTATATATCCAAAGAAACACCTCATAAAGGAGAGATCAGACTGACATTTGGCGGGTATCCTTCTGGGACAAAGATAGCAGAAGAAGAAAACTGGTAGCAACCCTTACTGTTCTGCAGCTGCTGCAGGTGATCCCCAGGCAAGCAGGGCCTGGAGTGGACCTCAGCTGACCTACAGCAGAGGGGACAGACTATTAGAAGGAACACTAAGAAACAGAAATAACCTCATCATCAACAAACAGAATGTCCACTCAGAGACCAAATCTGAACTCCAGCAACTACAAAGACGACAGATGGATAAATCCATAAAGATGGGAAGAAACCAATGTAAAAAGGATGAAAACACCTGAAAACAGAACACCTCTCCTCCTACAAGGGATCACAACTCCTCACCAGCAAGGGAACAAGGTTGGATGGAGAACGAGTGCGATGAAATGACAGAATCAGACTTCAGAAGGTGGGTAGTAAGAAACTTCTGTGAACTTAAAGAACATGTTCTAACCCAATGTAAAGAAACTAAGAACCTTGAAAAAAGATTTGACGAAATGCTAACAAGAATGGACAAAATAGAAAGGAATATAACTGAACANAAGGCTCTGAGGCAGGGAGCCAGGCGATCAGGCTCGGCTGGTCCCATCCCCACAAAAGAACAGCAATCAGAAACTCTCTGGATTGAGAGTTTCACAGCAAGTGCAGCTTAACCCAGGACGGTCTAGCTCTGTGAAGGAGGGGCATCCACCATTACCAAGGCACTCCA